TCCACAGTATGAGAGTGTTAATCTTTTATGAATAGACAGACTTGATTTTCTAATAATTCATTGAAATATATGTGTCTGTCGCAATGACCTTGAGTGCTGCTTTCATCTTTGTGTTTTGTAAATCAGGCTTAAATAGTTGGGTGATTTTGCTTTCAAGACATATCCAACATGTGTGCTTGCGGGTCTTCTTCATGTGAGCCTAGCAGACACCATTCTAAGCAGTTCAGATGATCAAACTCTATCTTCATAGCAATCTATAGGAAATGAATGTGACAAATCTTTTAACAGAGAAGAGAGCTGTGAAATGGAGAGAGTTAACCGTTTGCCCAAAGTCACCCAGCTGGTAAGCACCATAGGCATGGTCACTAAAAGGAAGCCGAGTGGTGCCAACAGCTGTGTGGGCAATGCTAATTGTTTTACTAGTATATACAGTGTGTGTGTGTGTGTGTGTGTGTGTGTGTGTGTGTGTGTGTCTGTGTACACATGCATGTGGGGACCAGAGGTCAGTGCTGGTGTCTTCCTCAGTCATTTTCCATCTTATTGTTTTAGGACAGCATCTTTCTCAGAGCCTGAAGCTTGCTGATTCGGCTAGGATGCCTGACTGGCAAGTCCACGGGACTCTCTGTCTCTGCCTCTCCAGTGCTAGGGTTACAAGTAAGTTTCTGCACATCCAGCTTCTTACAGTGGTGCCGGAGATCCAAACTCAGGTCTTCATGCCTGACTGATCCCTCTTCCCAGCCCTGTAAGACTAAAGCTTTGAAGACATGGTCAACTTGAGTCATCTTTTCCCATGGCCTTAGCTAATTTAAATAACATAGGAATTATTTGTCCTTTTCAAAGGGTTGAGAAATTTGGATGTGGATCTCTATAAGCACAGCTGATCTTGACCTTTGTACTCTTCCAGAGTTATCCATCTGTTGAGGCTCTCCTCAGTTTTCTTACACACCCTCCTACCTCCTTTAGACTCCCGACTGTTGCCACGGACTTGCACGTAACTGCTCCATTATCTTGCAGCTAAAATTTGTTGCTAATGAGAAATCTGATGCTAACCAGACTGGGGTTCCCTCCCTTCTATCTTTGGTCCCTTCCTGTGTTCTTTGCAGAGATAATTGCTGCTGTAGCTAATCAAAACCACGAGTTTGGTGCTTACGACGACACAAATGTCTGATCTGCAGAGGTCTGTGATAGGTGTTGCTTGCTCCTTCTGAAACCTCTGGGCAGACTCTACTCCTAGGCTTTGCCTGCTTCCACACACTGAGCATCTCTGGCCCAGAAACAGCTTCAGAGAAAGGACTCACACTCTTCTGCTCTTTCTATTAGTTTCTGAGGCCCAGGGTAACACAACATCGGTCTGTTGTCCAGGAGCCATGCGGTTATTTGCTTAAACAATTATCCTGCAAATCACATGACCTATTTTTTTAAAAAAAAATGTAAATAATTCTAAATAAAGGGACTCCTTAAAACTCTAATCCTACTTAGGGTGAACATCAGTATCTTGGTTTTAGATTCAGTAAAAATTAAAAAAAAAATCTGTGGCTAGAGATTCATGTTAGCCTTTTGTATGTTTTTAATAACCATTGTCCAAACACTGATAATGAAAGTATAAGCCCTTCTTGGTGCAAAAAAGACCAATATCTTATTTTAAATCCTGCTTCCCCCAGGTGGGATTTTTCTTTACTGGTCTAAAAGTAACTATCCCCTTTCTCTTGGAAACATGTCTGACTTGAGGGCAGTCAGAACACACAGAACCACTTCTTCATGTTTACATCATGCCTGCATTCACAGAACAGTGACCGCCACAAGCCACTGTGTGCGTGCACTGCCTCCCCACACTGGGTTTGCCCTGGTTCTTGACTGTGAGTTCTGGGGCCTTTAGGAGGGAAAATCTTGTGAAAAGAAGGTCGATCATTATGTGAGAGCATCTTGAGGGGATATTGAGACCCTGGCCTCCTCTTCTCTCTATTTTTGCTTTATGGCTGCAGTGAGGTGAGGAGGATCTTTGTTCCACCATGGGCTCCCCACCACGATGTTTTTCCTCACCACACCATGCCTCAAAGCAACAGGAGAGTGACCATGAGTGGAAACTTTGGAAACCATGAGGTGAATAAATCTTTCCTTCTTTCGTTTGCTTCAGGTATTTTGTTACAGGGACAGAAAGCTGATTAATAGATTGGGGTTGGGGGAAGTGCTGAACGTGGACCTCCGCATGCCTCTAATTGTGTATGACTGTTTTCACGAACTTTCTCTCAGCCACTCCTCTTCTGGGTCTGTAATGACCTCCTTTGAGTCCCCCTGGGCAGCAGAATTCTTTTTGCCCAAAGCCTTGGCATGAAAAAGTTGTCTTTGCCTAAACAGAGATTTCTTTTCTTTCTCTGGCTTGGTATTTTCCTTCAGGAAACTCTTCCTAGGGCCTTTTAGTGTCCAACATACTTGATTCTCTGGCACCCTGCACTTCATCTCCCCAGCATGCAGCTCAGTTATAATTAAGAATTATGACTTACTGTGTGTTCCCTTTCAGAACAAATTTCTTTTTCAAATTGTATTATTTTTATTAATTCTTTGAGAATGTCATGCATGCATACAATACGTTTTGATCATATTCCATTCTTCTCCAACTCTCCACACCCCCTCCCAACTCTGTGTTCTCTTGTTTTTTACAGTCCACCAAGCTTAACTAATTTCTATATGAACAGAGTCCATTCTTTTCTGTTACTATATCTCCACTACTTGGCATAGTGTACTCCACCAGAACCCAAAACCTCATTGGTAAAGAGGGAATGAGGTCACATTTCCTATTTGTTACTCAGACCACAAGTGGTGGATACTTAATCTGCTTTCCTATGCCTCAGTGTCCCCTTCTCTGAAGTGGGGGTATTAATAGTACTCATCACAGAGCTGACGTGAGAGTCCCATGACATATGTATAAGGCTCTTGTAAAATATCTTGTATATAGCAAGTGCAGTGGTCAATACATCTTAGCAATGAAGATGACAGTGACAGCTTTATGAAGCCAAGTTGGGGTTATCAAGAAAAAAGTTTTAATATATATTAGAGCCTTGACATTAAGAGAAAGAAAGGCTTAAGGAAATGGTAGTATTACACATACTAGAGTGTGTGTGAGCATCTTGAGAGTCACCACAGTGTTCCATGAAAGCTTTGAGGGAGAAGTAAATCCAGTCAATTAAGGGCATGACTGGAAGTGTCCCCATGCAGTGAGTGGAGCCAGAGAGTAATTCTGGAATCTCACTCTAAAGAAGGGCTATTTGGGTCAAGACCTCCATGATAGGAAGGAGGAGGACTTGGGAAAGCCCCCAGTGTACCAGAAGTACAGTGAGCTTGAAGAGTCAGATTTGGTTTCCTCAAGGAACTTCAAAGAGGCCAGTGTGGGTGGGGCAGGATGGGTCAGGGGAAAATGATGGGTTCAGGAGAATCACATAGGGTCTTTTCATCATAAGGAGTTGTGGTCTTATTTGGAGGTACTGGATAGTGATAAGAAGGCAGAAATGTAGTGTGAATTAAAAGGGATAGTCTGGATACTATGTAGAGATCCTACTATACAGAGAATATTGGACATGTGAGCAGAATATGCCAGGTAGAGCAGGCTTTCAGAGGGAGAAAATGGCATAAGACCCAAGTTGGGAATGAACATGGTTTATTTAAGGAACAGAGGAATTTCAGGGTAGCAAGACCCTAGTGGGTTTAGAGAGCAATGTCTCTGCAAATGTGACTGACTGGGTCCCATAGTTTGATGGGTTTGGACTTTGTCATGGAAAAAAAGATGATGAGTATAGAAAGGTATATAGACAGGAGATTGATAGGAGTCTCAGCTGCTCATGGTCCAACCAGAAAAGCACAAATCTTTCAAACAGATAATCTAGTAGAGGGAATCAGCCATGTGGGTGAGAGAAGAGATGAGAAGCCAACCATGGGGGGGGGGGGGGGGGGAGGTGAAGCAGCTTCTAATAATGAATACTGAGAACCACTGTGTTGACTGGGGTAAGGGGTGGGGTGCTAGCGAGGAGACGGCTAGTGTTGCCGGAATCCTAATGTTTGGACTGCTCAGTAAGGACTTGGTAACTATTGTCTAAGGGTTTCTAGTGCTGTGAGGAAACACCCTGACCAAAAAGCAACTTGGGGGAGGAAAGGGTCTATTTGGCTTACACTTCCACATTGCTGTTCATCATTGAAGGGAGTCAGGACAGGAACTCAAACAGGGCAGGATCCTGGAGACAGGAGTTGATGCAGAGGCCATAGAGGGGTGCTGCTTACTAGCTTGCTTCCTCTGGCTTGCTTATAGAACCCAGGACCACCAGTCCAGGGATGGTACCACCCACAATGGGCTGGGCCCTCGCCCACTGATCACTAATTGAGAAAATGCCTTACAGCTGGATCTCATGGTGGCATTTCCTCAGCTGAGGCTCCTTCCTCTCTGATGACTCTAGCTTGTGTCAAGTTGACACATGAAACCAGCCAGTACAACTATTAAATTAACATTTAAGATAATGTTAACATAACAGTGAGCCCGGGTGATGGTGAGTGTGGAAGTCACAGAGTACCAATATTAAATAGACCTGAATTCAAACATGGTCATATTTCTTGACATCCTGTGACTCAGAGCATGTTAAATTCTCTGGGCCACAGTTTATTTGTTGACAAAATTGGTCCACCAATGCCTCATCTGTGTGTTGGGGAGATTCAGGTATGTTTAAGTCTGTCATGTGCGTGCCACACTAACGGGTTAATGACTACGAGGTTTTAAGTCCCTAGAAAACCTCTTGGGCCAATGGGAGAAGGGGACACAGTGTCTTATCCTGGATCCTTGGGGTCTTGTTTTGGTGAGTCTTTCACACTCTCAAACTGGGTTCTGCATCAAGAGAGCTGGGAGACATCTCCAAGGCTCCAGCTCCCCAGGGCTCAGTAGCCCATGTTTACTCATCCCCAACCTCTTATGATGTCAGATGGGGCCATAATGCACATCCCCAGAGCAGGCAGAGTACTAGATGAGAACATGTGCTTCTGGGGATAGCAATTGTCTTCTAAGGACATGGATTTGACATGATGAGGGCATTCTGAGTGTACTCAAGGAAAAAGAAGGTAGCTTGGGGACATGCTTGGCCCTGAGGTCTTACATGGGAAAGTCTGAACATCTTAGAGGAGAGAGTCTTATGCAGAAAGTACCATTTTACCTCTGCTAGTCTGCGCAGAGGTGAGTCAAATCATCTTTGCCTTCACTTTCTTGTGAATTTAAAAGTTATTGATTACCCATTGTATACCATTTACACCAAAATGTGCTATGATATGGCAGCAAACTGGGTGTTCCCCAGGTCTCATTCTAACCAGAAAAACAATGATTGAATATCACAGCAAGGGCATGAAATGGCTCTCAAAGGTCTGGGTGTGAAAGGCTTAGTCACAGCTTGGCACTGTTGGGAAGTCGTGGTGACCTTAAGATGTGGAGTCTAATGGAAGATTTCCGGTCCTTGGGGACATGTCTCCTGCTGAGTCTCAGCCAGAAGGTGTGAGGTTTCACCCCATCACACAGCTGTTTTTCTCGTTGCTGTGATAAAATTCCCCGACAAAAGCAACTTAAGAAAGAAAATATTTTGGGCTTCCAGGTCCAGGGTACACTCCATCATGGTGGGAAGGCATGGGGGCAGGGGCATGCGGTGGCTGGTCACATTGTGCCGGCAGTCAGGAAGCAGGGGAGGTGAATGCCGATGCTTTGCTCTCTTGCTCCTTTTGATTCAGTCCAGGATCCAGCACAGGAAACGATGCCTCCTAGTTTATGCTGGGTCTTCCTACCTCATTAAGCTAATCAAAAATGCCCACATGGACATGCCCACAAGATCATTTACTAGATGGTTCTAGGCCGGTTAAGGTGTTAGTCAGCAACACCCATCACAGCTCCATGATGTCCTGCCATAGGATACGAAGGAACAGGCGCCAACTGGCTACAGACTGAATCCTCCACGACTGTGAACCAAGGTAAGTTTTTCCTCTTTTTAAGTTGATCACCTCAGGTATTTTTCTACAACAATGGGAAGCTGGCCGACACACCAAGAACAAAGCCAGAGGATGGTGTAACTTGGAACATGTCTCACAGAAAAGAAAGTGGAAACAAGGAGCATGCATGCAAGACGGTAGGCCAGGAGACCTTTCCGAGAAGGCCACACACATCGGCCTGAGAGCTTAGGTGTGGGGAGATTATCATACAGTGAGTGAGAGGAAGAGAATTCCAGAAAGAGTGAACAGAGAGTGGATGTCAAAGCCTCTAGGCAGAATGAGCTGGGAGCCCCTTTAATACAGTTGCTCATGTTGTGGTGACCCCCAACCATAAAGTCATTTCCATTCCTACTTTATAATTGTGATTTTACTACTGTTAGGAATCATAATCTAAACATCTGTGTTTTCTGACGGTCTTAGGCAACCTGCAACCCACAGGTTGAGAACCGCTGGACTAGCGTTAGCAGGCACCCGGCCCAGGGGTGCTTTCAAAGCAGAGTTTGGCTTTATTCCAGATGATCTGGTAGTCATCCCTGTGCTACAGGCCTGGGAGGGACAGGCTGGGATGTGACCTCATTTACATTTCAAGAGTGCTCAGAAATCTTTGGAATCCATTTTCTCTGCTGACTTAGGAGAATTAATTAGTTAATATCTGCATGACACTTGACAATCTTCAAGGAACAGAATGTATTATTATTATTTCCCCCATTGAAGCCTTGTAAATGGAGGTCACAGCACCTGGGATTCTCGCCCAAAGGAGGCAGAATGAGAAACAGCCCACAGTCCCTCACTAAAGAAAACATTTCTTTCTCTTGCCCTGCTGGGAAATCTCACTTCCATTTTTATAAGGCCAAAGAGGAACTTGGAAACAGAGCCAGTTCTGACTCTGTAATTAATTTCAAAGACCATCTTTTACTTTCACTGCTTATAAAGATATTAAAAAAATAACTTTTGTTTAGGTAGCACCTCTCTCCAGGGAGCTTGCTCACCAGCAAGGAGTTTGGTCCCCTGGCCTTGCCTGGAAGTAGCAAGGAAACCCACCACCTTTTTAAATGTTTAAAAAACTTTTCCATTTATTCTTGGGATTGTATTTTAATTACAACATTTCTTTTGTCTCTTTCCTCTCACCAAACCCTCCCATCTACCCCTCTTCACTCTGCTTCAAATTCATATCTTTTTCATCAATTATTATTGTGTATGTATTTGTATATTATTTTCACTTTGAAAGCCTGCGAGAAATGATACTGAAGGTTTCCCAGCAACCTATCTGTGTCCATTGTCAGCAGCTGCTACCCTCTGCCTCCATTCCTTCCTCTTGCCATCAATTCCTAGATTTTCACAATTGGGTTTATTTTTATGTCTCTCTCTCTCTCTCTCTCTCTCTCTCTCTCTCTCTCTCTCTCTCTCTGTGTGTGTGTGTGTGTGTGTGTGTCCGTGTCCCCGTTTGTCAGATTCCCTGGAGCCGGAGTTATGGTTACAGGTAAATTGTGAGCCATCTGACATGGATGCTGGGAACTGAACTCTTGAAGAACAGCAAGCTCTCTTACCCAACGGCTAAACTATCCCTCCAGCCCCCAATAATTTCTTTTGTGCTGATGGCTCTCATCCAGTTCATCTTGCCCTGTTTTTTCCTGGTGGCAGCCAGAGGGGATTGTCCGTTTTCCCTAAGCCACCCATGCTACACACATCAACCCATTTCATCGAAAACTTACAGAGATGAGTCCTGTTGATACTACTAATGTAGCAGGTAGGGAAACTGAGGCTCACAGAAACCGAGCTGCATCTTGAAACAACATTGTGTGTTAAGAGGCAAGTTTGGGACTTGGACTGAGGCCATGTGATGCCAGGATGCACTTGCTGAGACATCACCATGTATCGTCAGTTTGAAAAACTGACTGGGGTGGCTCTGAAGATTCCTTTAACATTCAGGGCATCACCCTGGAGGCTCACACTTTATTACTTATTTATGTTTGGGGCAGTAAAAGCATTTTGCTTTTTTTTTTTTTTTTTTAATGTGAAGTGGTGGGTGTAGGAGGTGAGTGGGTGCGAAGGAGAGAAACGCCTTTTATGGATTGTCTGCTAAACCTCGTGAAGTCGTAGCTGTGTCTCGGTGCCAGACGGCTGTGCCTGTTGACTTAATGGCTCTGAAAGATGACAAGGCTTAAAAAAATCGACTGTCACTGCAGAACTTGGAACAGATTGAAACAGAGCGCTTGAGTCATCTGTTAAAGATGCCACTCTGGGCCCCTGACATGCAATGCCCAGTTAGAGCCAGGGACACATTAAAAACATAATAACTTTGCTTCGATTCTGACGCAGAAGGTCCCCTGTCCCCTGGGAAGGGACTGTGAGATGGACACTGCTGCTTGGCAAACACCCCATTTTAGGTGGCTGCTTGCCAGCTCAAGGGGGCAGCTGAGTCTCAGGAAGGCCTCCGGTTCAGCCATTAGTAAATAGGCTCCAGATAGAACTTGGGGCAAAAGCCAGCAGCTAAAGACTGCACTACCTGCCCCGATTTCATGACTGTCTGCACCAATCAAGCCTGAATTAAATCTCTTGGCTTGCCACCTAACCCAGCACCCACAGCTCCACCCATGCTCAGCCTCCTGCCAGACTATATGGAAGCCCATCTGCTCGCCAAGCCTTCTTGTAACTTACCTTCAGGCTTGGGGGGACATTATTAAGAACTTCCAGGTTAGAAACAAAGATATTCTCACCAGGAAGGACCCACCATTCCCCAAGGGGCATGTGGCCACTCCACATAAATTGCTAAAAGCTTGGATGAACCAATCAGGAGCCAGCAGAAGCCATCTGGATTACTTAAGAATTATTGTGTAATGGTGTGATGTGCATCTTGTTTGACAAGGAGGACGTCGGGAAGGTGTTGTTGGGTGTTCAGAAAAGAGAGTAGATGGAGATAGAAGGTGAATATGTATTGATACCGATGATGAGGAAGGTCAGCTGACTTTGACTCCCCCTTCATTAATTACCAGCTATGTGATTAATTACCTTGCAAAAGTTACTTAGCCTCTCTATGCCTCCTCTTTACCTGCTTTTTATGAGTGTATGTGTGTTGTGTTGAATGTTATTATTCATGTGTTTGGTGCGTGTTGCATGTGCCTGTTCATGGGGGTGTGTGCACATGTGTCTGCAGGTATTTTGTGCAAGTGTGTGCATGCACGTGTGGAGGGCAGAGGTCAATATCTTCCTTGGTTGCTCTCCATCTTATTTTGTCTTGAGATAGAGTCTATCACTGAAACTGCAGCTTATAGATTTAGCTAGGCTGGTCAATGTGCCGATCCAAAGATTCGCTTGTTTGTGCCCCATGCTCCAGCACCAGCTCTGGGGTTAAAGACAAACGCACCCATATCTGACTGTTATGTGTGTGCTGGAGATCTCAGCTCAGGCCTTCATGCTTGCAGGACAAGCCCTTTCCAACTGACCCATCTCCAGAACCCCTAGGTCATCATCAGTGAGTTTCTCTGTGTAAGCTAAAAGTCACTGAACGTCAGCCACGCTTTTCCTGATTCTTGCATTTAGACTGATCCAATCCAAGAGTCCAATGGTAAACTGAGGCTCAGGGTGATGACTCAGTTGGTAATGTGCTTGTCCTAAAAGCATGAGGACCTGAATTGGCTCCCCAGACCCTACATAAAAAAGCAAAAAGCTGTGAATTCCTGTAATCCCAGCACTGGGGAAGGGTTATCGAGGAGGATTCCTGGAGCTTGTTGACCAGTTGCCTAGCTGAATCAGTGAGCTCTAATTTCCATGAGAGACCCTGTCTTCAAAATTAAGGTCAAGAGTGATTGAAGAAGGCAATCGGTGTTGACCTCTGGCCTCTACGCATGTACAAACATTTGTTACACCCACATATATGTACACACACACACACACACACACACACACACACACACACACACACACACACCATTTCTTTTCAACTTGAGGATGGTGAGATGGGCATGCACAGGGCTATAGGATGGCATAAAGTGGAAATACCATGAGCTGTGGACCACTAAGGAATGGGTTAACTGTCTTCTGTGAAGTACCACAGAGTTTCTTGACTTCCCTTGTGGGTAGTATTGAGCAGAAGGAAAAGCATTCCATTTCCACAGTGTGTGTAATGGCTGATGGCTGTTTGCTTTCGCAGGTTAGGAGGGTTACATTGCTATATGGTCGGAAATGGAAGTAAGCTAAGGAAGTTGAGGGGATGTCTTAACTGGTAGGTAGTTGGGGACTCAGTGGGATGAGGGGAAGCTCTTGGAGCATTTTCCTACAGTAAGAAGGAAATAAACCAAGAACAGAGCAGGAGATCACCCTCAGTGATCGGAACTTCCTTGTACTCAACTGGGTAGAACCACCCTGGGGGCCAGGTGATAAAGCCACTGGTCTCCACTAGTGATAGTCAGCAGGGACATGCCACAAGCTGATGACGCACAAGACCACATCACAAAATGTGAGCCCTTTTGTTCCATGACAAGAGGAGATCTGGAGGGAAATGGGTGGGACTTACACAGATCACATATTCTGAGGTCGTGCCCAGAAGGCCAGTGCCATGGATCATAGATATATTCAGGCTCTATCTGGGGTGATTCCTTAGGCACATTCAAGAGCTGTCTTTTCTCTGGCCATTGTTACTGAAGCCAGCTTAGGAGACCAAGAGATGGTGAACCATGTCTCTGCTTCTGTCCTGGCAGTTGTCATTGTCCTAAGTTTGGACAGCACTCTAGGAAGCCTGGTGGCTGTCATCAGTCATGATCACTGAGGACAAATTAATATCCAGCCTCTTGGGAAGCCTCTCACCCACCCATTTGTTTCTGTGAAACCAAGCAGAGGTTAGCTAGAATGTTCTGCCAAGACTGTCTGTAATCAGGTAGAGTCATTTGCAGAACAAAGGTAGGCTGCTCAGTGTTAGATTTTTGAATCTAGAAGTGTATCATTTGGGAGAAATAAATAGAAAAAAATTCACACATGTACATCAAAATATGTAATTAAATATATTTTGCTTCCCACTTTTAAATCAAGTATACTTAACATCTTGCTGAAACTTCTGGAGTCCTGTCAGAGGCAGGTTAAATCTTCCCATGGCGTCATTAATAAACTTGTATTTAATCAGACCTTTCAGCACGTGCATAAACCATGAGGCACAACTTTTTTTCAAACATCAATAGGGCTGAATGAAAAGCAACAGTGGGTACCTGCCTCAACAGTGGAAGGAAGAAGATGGGATATCGGATTGTGAAACCAACACACTCCAGACTGGTCCTCAATAAGATCAATGGGCCATACTGACTGAAGGCCATGTCCTGTCATCTTCCGACATGGGTTGATCCTTATACAATCCAAAGGGATGGGAATCATCTTCGGTGTGCCAACAAGCACACCCATAGTGGTAAATGGTAGGCCCAGAATGGAAAATAAGCTTGGAGATCAGAGGCTTGTCCTGTCTTGTCCTGGAGTGTTTCTTATACAGAACTGAGCATCAGAACTGCAGACATAAATCACTCATGTTTTGTTGGTTTTAGTTATCCATCCATTTGGACTGAAATGTATATAGTTCCCATTCCTCGGTGGGGACCATATAACTCTCTATAAATCTTTCTGTAGTGTTTGTAAAGTTTTGTGCTGAGAAATCCCTCCAGGTATAGTAATCAGTACAAATCTTGGTGGGGGAGACTCTGTTCTTCTATGGCGGTGAACATTCTGTGGCCCAGGCCATATATCTGAACACTCTACTTCACACATCCATCAAAGTACCTCAGGCAAGGCCCATTAATACGGCCAAAGCTGGACTCATACCTTTTCTAAATCTTTCTCAGTTGGTGGCACCACTGTCCTGGCCGCACAGGCTATGGTCCTGGGGTCCTGGATGACTTTCTCTTTCCTGACCTCTCTCTTGAGACAGAGTCTCACCATGTATCATGGGCTGGCCTGGGTCTCAGGATCCCCTTGCCTCAGCCTTCTGGGTGCTGAGGTTACAGATGTGCACCACTGTATCTGGTTTTCTTCCCTCTCATTGAATCTTTACCTCCATGTCCATTGGCTCATTAATCATGTACTATTAAAAAGCCATTGAACATGGATTTGGACCAATCCTTACCACCCCTGTCCATATCGGCCCCCTGGGACATTCTCATGATGGTTGTCAACAGATATTTTTAATCCTACTTGTTTGTTTTATTTTTTTGACATTTTGTTTTTTAATGTTTCCTTTATTTTTAAGATTTTTCCCCCCTCAATAAATTGTATTATTTCTGTAAAAACTTGGGAAGCTTTCACTCTAATTTTAATTTTACCATAAGTACCTTAACTGTTTTTTAAGACCTTCTTAAGCCTATCTTATACTATCAAAATCCATCCCAGAACTGCAATCTGAGGTGCTCCTTTCTGTAATAGATGAGAACTTTTGTTATGAAACTGTGGTGGTTTGAATAAGAATGGCCCCCATAGACTCATATTTGAATGCTTGGTCAAAAGAGAATGGCACTATTAGGTGTGGCTTTGAAGGAAGTGTGTCACTGGGAATGGGCTTTGAGGTTTCAAAAGCTCAAGCCATGCCCTGTGGGCCTCTTTCTCTTCCTGTTGCTTGCTGATCCTGGTGTAGAACTCTCCACTCCCTCTCCAGCACCATGTCTGCCTGTGTGCTGTCAGGGCTTCCTACTGTGATAACAGACTTCACCTCTGAACTGTAAGCCAGCCCTAATTAAATGCTTTCCTATATAAGGGTTGCCATGGTCACAGCAATAAAAACCCCAATTAAAACAGACATTTCCCTTTGCAAGGGTTTGTGAGTCTAACTCCATCTTTAAAATAATTACTTAAAGAAAGAAAACTGTGTGTGTGTGGCAATAAACCTTATACACATTCTAAATACTGGAGAGTGACTGCCTTTGTGCTTTTTACGTCAGGCTAATGTTTATATTTCCTCCCCCCTGAGTAGAGAGCTTTAAGTGTGCGTGTGCAGGATGGTGGTGTATATGTGTATACGTGCCTGTCTGCAGGTGCACTTCTTGCCCATGCATGGGATGTTGGATGTCTTTCTCTGTGACTCCCCATCTTTTTTTATTTTACATAGTGTCTCTCACTGAACCTGGAGTTTGGAATTTCAGCTTGATTGGCTGGCCAGTGAGCTCCCGAAGTCTGCCTATCTCTGTCCCCCCAGTTCTAGAGTTAGAGATCCATGCTGCCCTGCCTGCCTTTTTATGCAGGTGCTAGGGATGTGAAATCAGGTCCTTATAGTTACAGAGAAAGCTTTCACCCATGATGTGCTTGAGGATTTACCTTTGATTATGATTTTATTTTTCTGATATGTATCTTCAATACATACCTTTTCCAACTTTTTGTGTGCTTAAAACAACCGGCCTGGTGTATTTCTCCAAATGACAAGTTGGCTGTATATATTGGACTTTTGGACACCACTCCAGTTTAATGCTATTACAGAAACCATTTAGTGGTATAGGGCACAGTATTAAGTAAACACCATAATTTCCATTGAATATGAGTAGGAATTAGGTTTTTTTTCCCTCAATATTTCTGTGTGTGGATCTTAGTTTCTTAGTTACTTAAAAGGATGTCTGATCTTCATTTTCCAATTATTACCTTTATTTAGAGATAAACAATTCCCCCTTTAGTTCTTAGCTATTTTATTTTATTTTCCAACATAATATATTTTATTGATTATTTGGGAATTTCACATGGTTCACCTCTATCACATTTACTACTCAGCCTTTCCAGGTCTACCCCTGACTTGTGACGACCTGCCCTCCCACCCCAAAGAAGAACAGAAAAAAAAAAATACAAGTACAATTGTGTTGTCCGTATATTCACCAGAGCATGGTCAAACTCCTGGTGCGAATCCCTTAAAGAGAACGGAGTCCTTCCCCACCTCACCCCCACCGGAAGCCTTCAGCTGTGAAGAGCTACCCTTCAGGATCTCTATCACAATTTTTAAGAGGTCTTTTCAATGGCTTCCTGTCTAGACTGTTTCTTTTTTTTCCAGGGTGGGGTAGGGGAGGGGAGGTTGCTACAGAAGCCTTCTGTGTCTCATTTTCAGCTGTGAGTCTGTGGTCATCCATACCACTGCAAAAGAAGCTTCTGGTGAGATTTTTGCAATTTGCTTTTGGTGTTTGTTATTTTACCATCTTTTCCCCCCTTTCTTTCTGAGTTTGGTAGGAGAAGGGAGTGAATTTTCTCATTCGTCTCCTTCATCACTGGTTCTGTCTCTTGTATTTGCCTTGCCTTCTATCTACTGGTTGCCTTCAAAGTAGCTTCCAGTTTACTTACTGTCTTTTACCTGAGACGATTCTTCCTGATCTTCAGTTGATTTCTCAAAACGATGCTCGTTCTACTTTCGTAGGGTAAAGAAGTGTATTGGCTCTCATGGAGAGGAAAGAGCTGACATTTAAAACATGCTTCCTCCTTCCTTCCCCTTGTCCTCTTCTTCTCTGCGTGACAGTAATTTAATTTCTCTTGACTCTATACTCTGTAGGTTCCCTTTCTTTGGAGTCCGGAGTATATTTTATGCTTCATGTTACTTCTCACATCAGCTAAGATCTTTATAAAAGGGAACTTGAGTCCCACACTTAAGGAGAAAAGGGATGAAATAAAGTAACTACCAGTCAAGGGCCACTTTGGGGCATCCAGACACTGGTTGGTGGGGGTGGTGAAATGAAGGGGAGGAAGAGAAGCCTTAGAGACAATGAAAGGAATGGAGTCTCAGAGTTTGTTACAGACATTGTAGGCAAATCCCAAGGCTTTTCTGACAGGGACTCAGAGGTGCATTGTGGGTAAGAGAGATGAGGAATGTTCTTCCCAGCTGGGGATACTTCTCACCAAACACAGATCTGCGAGGGAAAGGTGTCACTCTATCCCTCATCAGCTGGAAGTTGGTGTGGCCAGGAAGTCCTAAGTCTGATTTGAAAACCAACCCATCTAGCCTACTGCTGGGGAAGCCGAGAGACAGGAGGTGCTGAGTTCAAGGCCATACGGGGTTACATAGTGAGGCTGTCACATTCCAAATGACAGTCTTCAATTCTTTGCACTTCAAATATATGCTCAATTACACTATTCTAGACTGTTCTGGGTTCTGGGACTTCCAGTATGAGTCTTTATTTTCTTGGGCATTACACTTTACAGGACATTAGTCAGATACTAATCCAAGCACTCGCATCCTGCGGGAAGATGGGAGATCAGGAGATGCTACCAGAAGAAGTGAGGAGTCTTCTGGAAGACGATGGTTTCACCTGCAACAAGTGTAGAGGTGAATGGGGGCGGCGGCGGCGGCGGCGGCGGCGGCGGCGGCGGCAGAGCATGGCAGGCAAAGGGTATGTGCCAGCCAATTCCGTGCTGGCAGGATCTCACTTAGGCGCCCAGGATTCTTGAGAGCACAGAGAGGCCTTGGTCGATGTTTTGAAGGATGAAACCGGAAGAGAAGGATGACTCATTCAAAGCCTGCCTCTTGGAAGAGTTAACTCTGGAAGCAGACACTCTTCCTCCGGGGGCGAGGGTGATAGGAGGAAGATGGAGGAAGACGTGCTAGGAGGTGAGATTGACGCTAGCTGTGCCGGATGTTGAAGGGAGTCGTGATTTTTTTTCCTTTGTGAAAACCCACCTGTTTTGTAGGGTGCTTAATCTGTATTGGTAGGGGAGGGGTTGGTGAATCGGAAGCTGATGACTATGTAGGTCTGTTGGTCTGCACTCCTTGGTGAATGTGAAGGAATGGATTCTCTTGGTTGATTTGGAATTGAGTACAGTCTAAGGAAGGTCATACTTCCATGCTTTTGTGTATCTCTGCACATCTCCAGGAAGAAGCCAGGAGCCCAGCCTCGTCTCCTTCCCTGCTCTGAGCCTAAACTACTTGGACTTGGGGAAGCAGGTTGGAAGGGGAGATGGATGGTTGTGCTCTACCAGCTTCTCTGCATCACACTATCACATCCTTCACGTGCTTCCCTTTCTTGGAGAAGTCATGTGTCAACTGCCAGACTCAGAGAAACTTGAAGCTGGTTCTAGATGTCCATACTGCATTGAGTAGAAATTCCTTTATGTCCCTGTTTTGCACTCCATCTATAGCTTCTGCTTGCCTGACGTGGAGGAATGAGAGAGCTGAGCATGCATGGCAAGAATTGTGGACAAATGCAACAGTCCAACGTTAATTGGACACTATGCAACAAGGTGTGTGTGTATGTGTGTGTGTGTGTGTGTGTGTGTGTGTGTGTGTGTGTGTGTGTATGTGTGTATAGTGGGTAGCCATTCCAGCTTTGATCTGGAAGTTCCAGCCCCCATTGAGGCTTAGGTAACTGTCACGCCTACAAGGCAGGGCCAAGAGAGGACCCTGAAGACCCGAGATCCGGATACACCAGCTCTCTTGGTTTCTGGACCCTGGACACTGGAGGTAGACCTAGCAGAGTTCTGCAGGAGCAGAGTTCTCCAGAGAATGAACTGTGCCACACCTTTCCCAGACCCTGTAAACTATCCCTTCACTTGTAAGTTACCCCACAAAATAAACCTCCCTTTTAACTACGTGGAGTAGCCTTAATAATTTCACTAATATGTGTGTGTTGAAGCATACTTTCTCCAAAGACAGACCATTTGCACTGCTCAAAACAGTAAAGTAGAGCGTGTCTATTCTGCCTTTACTGTGTATCTTTGAACATCTGGACTTTTCTTACATGGAATTGCTGCTGTATCTTAGCTTTGCACTTAGTTCCAGGAGCTTGCTTAGGAATGGTATATCTGGTGAGATTACAATGGGTTAATTTAAAGTGACCTGAGCCTCCTGCTGGGGAGCCTTGCCTTTTGGATACAGCTGATTACTGGCTCTGGGAGATATCTGAGCTCATTTCAAGGTAAATCAGAGATGAGTTTTGAAAATACATTCATCGTTGGGCAGCTCTTTTTTGGGGAAAGGAAGGCTGGACCACTGCTTCCTCAGGACTAATACATTGTGTATAGTGAAAAAAGGGGAGAGGGTATTGTGGGTCTGGAGATATGGTTCATCAGTTAAAGGATTCCTGTTCTTCACAACATTCAGTTCCCAGCACCATGAACTGCCTTTAACTCCAACTCTAGGGGGAACTGATTCTTCTGGTTTGCAGGTGTGTGTGTGTGTATGTGTGTGTGTGTGTACATCTAAAAAAAAAAAACCTCTTGGAATCTGTTCTGTTGTGTGTTTATTTTTAAACTTATTGGGTTATTTTTATCCTAGAGCCAAGACTTGTTATCACTAGAAAATCCAATAAATTAATAGACTTTGAAAACCAATCATTGTTAAATGAAAAAAAATTAAATTGAAATTACTGTAGGTGGCTGGCTGTAGGGGTCAGGCGGGTGACAAAACAAAGCCAGCCAAGTCAGGGAGGCAGCAGGCAGGGTATGTCTGGGTGGGACATTTGCTGCCTCAGGAGATTGCTCCCTGGTTGCACTTAACTGCACTTAGCCTGGAATGTGAGGATGGGGCCCAGTGTCCTTTATTCCAGTTTTTCCAAAGAAGTTGAAAATATGTTTATTTATGTGAATTAGTTGGTAGCTAAATTCAAAATACCAATGCAGGGCAAACAAGACACAGTATATAGTCGATCAGAGTCCTTTAAGTCAAGGCTTTGGCTCATGACTTAATGAGAGGAGATTTGTAGGTGGAATTTTTCAGTCTCTCCAGCCAGCTCCCAAATAACCACAGAAAGACTTATTATTAATTATAAATGCTCAGCTGATAGCTTAGGCTTGTTACCAACCAGTTCTTACCACTTAGATCAACCAATAGTTATTAATTTACCTGCTACCACATGACTCATGGCTTGTTACCTCATTTTCTATACTTCCTGCTTTCTCTGCATCTGGCTGGTGACTCCACCCTTCTTTATCCCTGCACTTTCTTTTTGTTGGTAAGTCCCACCTAACCTTTACCTGCCTAGCTATTGGACATTTAGCTCTTTATTAAACCAATGAGAACAACAAATATTCACAGTGTACTTAAAAATTGTTCCACAGAAGAGACTTATAATTTTAGAACTCTGTTCTTACGGGATAGTGTAAGCAAAGTGTGGGAATATAATCCAGATCCAACCACTCAGCCCAGCAGCAGATAATCAACAAGGAAACCACCAGCCATCAAGGTTGATAACTAGTTCTTCCCTGTCACTGCACATGGCATCTGGTGAAAACTGTCACACAAAGCTGTGTAGGTTGTATACTAGTCATTTGTAGGAGGGCCTCATGTACTCTGTAGAGTATATGAGCAGCGCCCCCTGGGGTGTGAATTAGAATCACAGGCACCTATGGGAGGCAGGATGTTCTGTATTTAAGAATGGACAGTGATGTGAGTGTTTGAATGAAGTTTAGTGGGTCTGAATATATTCATATGTGACTTTGCTACCGGAGTTCCTTGGCAGGAGGAAAACTGCCTTGTCCATCCTGTTTCTAGCAATGAGTGCATAATCAATCCACAAAAATGTTTTTATGTTTTTCTGCATAAAATATCTAGCATTCTGGAAATTGGAGATTGCATGAAGACATCAGCTTTGGGGTTAGTGATTCATAGTTGTTATTGACTTCTTGGAGGCATTGGAATAACAGGATTTCTGGGAGAACTTAGTGACCCAAGAGGAAATGAAGTCAGACAGGAGAGTATTCATCTGGTTTCTGTTTATATAGCAGGTTACCTGAGACTGAGTGAGTTAGAGGGTTTATTTTGGCTCAGGGTTCTCAGCTTCTGGTAGATGCTAGAAGAGGGATCATGGGCATGTAAGAGGTAAGCACCAGGGACCAGGCTCACTTTGTAACAACCCATTCTTGAGGTAACTGAAGGTCATCTAGAGGAAGACTCTGTCTCTCATGTATGTGGTTGCAAGCTCATATGTGCAAGTGTGTGTGTATGTGTGTGTGTGTGTGTGTGTGTGTGTGTGTGTGTGTGTGTAAGCCAGAGAACAAACTTCAGTTCTCCATCCTATGTTTTCAGAGTTGTTCATTGTCTTGGAACTCACCAAGTGTGCTGTGCTGGCTGGTTAGTGAGCCCAGAGCTTTGTTTGCCATCTGAATATTTCCAGCTCTGGGATTACAAGTACATATTACCATGTCTGGCTTTTTTTAAACAACAACAATAACAAAAACCATTAACATGGATCCTGGGCCTCAAATTCAGGCCTTCATGCAAGGCCAGCATTTCCCCAATTGAGCCATTTTCCCAGTCCATTGATTTCTTTAGTGGTCTAATCATCTCCTAAGGTTCACACAGTCTCTCAACACTGTTACTGGAAACAACAGTTAAACTTCGTCATGACCTTGGCTGGACTTAAACTCACCCAGGAGATTGGTGAGGTGCACCTCTCAGGGCTCCTGTGAAGGTGTTTTCAGAAAGCTCTGAGGTGGAGGGCCCTCCTTAAATGCCGGTGGCACCATCCCATGGGCTGCAGGTCCTGATGGCTCAAAAGAGGAAAAAGGCAAAAGCCAGAAGAGTTCTGCCATTGCCTCATTCTGCTTTGCTGTGGGATGGTCTGTATGTCAAATGTGTTGCTTGGATTGGTCAAGAAATAAAACACTGATTGGCCAGTAGCCAGGCAGGAAGTATAGGTGGGACTAACAGAGAGGAGAATTGAGAGAACAGGTAGGCGGAGGGAGGCACTGTCAGCCGCCGCCATGATAAGCAGCATGTGAAGATGCCAGTAAGCCACAAGTCAAGTGGCAAGGTATAGATTTATAGAAATGGTTAATTTAAGATGTAAGAACTAGATAGCTAGAAGCCTGAGCCGTTAGACCAAACAGTTTAAATAATATAAGCGTCTGTGTGTTTATTTTATAAGTGGGCTATCAGATGGCTGGGGTTTGGCGGAACCTGGAGAGAAAACTCTCCACCTACACTGCTTATTGGCCCTATGATATGAACTCAACTGCTTACCATGCCCTCCCTGTCATGACACTGAATGCCCTAAAACCAAAAGAAATCTTTCCTGTCCTGCATCATTTATGCTGGTTGCTTTGTCACAGTGGTGCAAATTTTGACTATTCAGGGACCAAGGTTTAATGTCATCTTAGGAGAAGACAAACCATATTCAGATCATATGGCTAAAGGGTCTAAAACGTGGGACTAGGAGAGAAATGCCACAAAAGACAAGAAATCACCCTGCATTCTCCTCATCAGCATAAGAAATATTTTCAGGTAATATCTGGCAAAAAAAATGAAGAAATTAGTGGACAATGGATAGTAAGAAGCCCTACAGAGACATCATGTAGAGTCTGGATTGAATTAAGGTCATTGTATTTAAGGGAGGCAATGCTAGAATTTGGTGAGTTTTGGTAAGAGCAGAGGCAATCTCAGCAGAGTTCATGTATGCTGAATAAGAATTGGCTTATCTATCTTCTCCAGGAAGCTCCCTAGCTGTCCACATTCCTTTTATATTCCTGATCCCCAAGCTGATGCTCTGCTCTGCCCTGTGACAACACTCTATGCTTATTACCTAGCAAAATACCTGCTCCTCAGTGTTACACATGTCTGCATGCTCTGCATCTTTCATAAATCCACGAGCCTTGTAAGCACTGAGATTTTCACAACTCTTTCTTGTATGGCACAGTGGTGTGAACAGTGGTGTA